TAATTGAGTCGTCGCGCAGAACAAAAATAAAAATAAATAAATAAGCAATGAAATGCAGTTTATGAAGGAACGGCCGACCTGTTTTTGCTGCAATGATAAAATAATTGAATTTTATATTAAAATCTTGAAAATAAATTTTTAATATTTGAGTAATATTTAGTATATGGAATCGTTGGACAAAACGGCACCACTGCGAGCAACAATTTTGCTAAAACTTCCGAAAACAAAAAGACTTCATCTGTTGCAGTGAGCATATTTTTTTTTTTTAATTAAAGTTCTTTTTTATTTATAATAATTTCTCTCCAAATAATGGATTTTGCTCTGATAATTTCCATTATAGCGTTATTAAATTTCGAATATGCATCTACGAGAAAAAGCAACCGACAAAAAACTCCTTTGTCATTATCACCAACAGAAAGTGTGCATCAATGCAATTATCTGAACAAAATAGTCCATTCATTTCAGACAAAAAAAGAGATCAGCATTTTTTACACCTATCATTCATTTACTTACGGTTTTCATAACAAAATGCGTCCTTGTCAAAATTAAAAAGATGAGAGAAAGTGCTCTCTCGCTGATTGAACTTCTTACTTTTTCGGCACCAACTGACACAACGTACGTCTCGTGTCGTTCGCGGACCGACCAGCTGACCTTAAAATGCAAAGTTATCCTTTCAGCTCTTGTACTTTTTTTGTTTGCCCTGTGCCTAATGAGGAACGCGTTTTATGCACTGTTAGTTAAGTGATGAGCCGCCGGCCGGACAAAATTAAGAGTGACCTCGATTTGCTGCGCCGTCTGTTTTCGTACATTTCACTCTCTAATTCGAAAGAGCGCTGCAGTTTGTGAATGAATGAAGAAAAAATTTCTCGGCAAGCCTTACATGGTTGATAAGAGGCCGTTGGCAAACAAATTAGTCGCACTCGCATGTCTCTGAAAATGAAAAATTGAGCGTAAACCTTGTTATTTTCAACTTCTCAAGGTTCACCATTATAAAATTTTCTTTATTAATTCGGCGAAACTTGGAAATTACATTTGCCATAGCTAAATGCATCATTTGTGAGGAATTAGTCACACATCTTTTGAGAGTACTTGTATCCTTAAGAAGTGACAGATGGGAAATCAGAAGGTTAAAACGCAGAATTTTTATCATTCTGAAAATCTCCGTAAGAAATTTTCCTCTTATTAGTGTTTCCTCCACAATCATTGCAAAATGATTCATATTTTCTCTTTGAATTCAAAGAGTTGCTAAAAATAAAATCAGAGCAATATAAAATATATATGAAAGTCGCCAAGCTTGTTTTCAGAGATGAGATTGCTCGGTAATTTTACTGATTGCGAGAGAGGCAAATTATTCAGGCGAAGTCTTTCTTAAACTCTCTCTCAGCAGGGAGGAGATTGTCTCTCGATTTGCTCCATTTGATTGGGATGCTTGCTTAGTTAATTGAGCAGCCGAGTATGTATAAATTTCGAGATTTGCGCCACACTGAAAGTAATGCAAATTGCGTTATCGAGAATATAATTAATGCGGCAAATTATTCGGTCACGAGAACGCGTTGCAGCGGAATTTGCTGAACGCATGCATGCAATTCTACAAACCATTGTCCCATTCAATGAAGAGCGACCTTGGCGCGAATTGATGCTCGGGGAGCACCGCACGTCGAAACCGGTATTGTCTATTTCGTTCCCATAAAAGAGCTCTAGGAGAAATGCCAATTACTGCTAATTGCAAATAGAACAATATATATAAAATAATGAATAGTTACGCAACCTGAAGAATGGCGTCTCACGGGCAACTTGCAATCAGATCAAATTAAAGACAATTTCTTATAATTATCTGTTTATTTAAATACTATTCAGTCAACAATGTTTCTTTAAAAAAGCCTTGAAGCTTGAAGAAGATTATTTTTCACAATCCTCAATTCTTCAGATATCAATGAATTCAAAAGATTGTTTGTAAGTTAAGATACGTTTGTAGTTAAAAAATGCTTAGGGAGAGTATTTAGCAAAAAATTGGCCTGATTTGTTTGTTGATAGTAATTTTTTTGTCTCTACATTAGCATATGTATTGGTTTGTCGATGTCATTTCTCAGGAAAAAATTATAAGAAAAATTGAATTTATTGAACTGAATTTTTTAAATTTAACATTGTTCTTATGGGAATTTTCTATAATTATTTTTTTTTTCTCAAAATGGGTCAGATCAAAATTGATAAAAATTTCAGCAAATCACGTTCATATCAACCGAATTAAAATAAAAAAATAAAATCATTAGGTCAATTTACTTATAAAAATTTACATTGATCTTATGGAAAAAGATTGAGAAGTTTTATTTACAGTGCAGATTTCAGAAGCTCCTCGTTATAAAAAAGGAAATTTTAAAGGTATTTACAGAAGATTATTTAAAAATTATTAGAATCACTAATTTTTTTACTGCTCATTTACTCCTTTTATTGTTACAGTCAAATCAAGTCTTTTATAAACATAAGCTGTGTAAATTTGCATTTATTAAAAACAATTTTGAATTGAATTGAATTAATTACACAACAAAAGTTTAAATTACCAATTCTTTGTCACTGATATGGAAAAATAGCCTCTATTGTTCTTAATTTGACTTTTATCAATCAAAAAGAAATCCATTAATTCACTATGGATTTTTTCCAACAGCATTTTAAAGCTTAAGCGCCTGAAGAAAATTAGTTTATTCCACTCTTGAACTATCTCAACTTGGAACACGTTGAATTGTAATCAAATGCACAAACCATTAAAAGCGTGAGACCAGCGTCTAATTATGTTTAATATGGTTTGTAGACAGATTATACGATTTTTATAGCGGCCGAACCTTTCTCGCTCGCAGCGAAATGTCTTTCCAATGACCTACTGCCAGATAACCGAAAACACACGCCGGTAATTGCATATGAATTGTGTGTGCAGTTACTTTTTTACAGCATGCTCGTGTCTCTCTCCCCTTCCGAAACGTTGAAAAAACATCATGCAGCGCTTCTGATGTGACCTTTCCAGAGAATATACGAACCTTAAAAAGCCGCGATAGAGGAGCGTGTGTGTTATTAAGTAAAACTTATGAAACGAGCGGCTGATTGTTCCTGGGGATTGAATACAAATGAGCCGCGCTTGCCTAACAAACAATCGTGAAATAATAATCATATTCCGCTACCAAATTAAATGGTAAAAGTTTAAGAAAAATTGATTTCCGTAAAACTTTGTTTTAAATTATGAGCAATTTGGACTTTCTACACAAGGTTGCCCTTTTTACTGGAAATAAAATCTTTAAATTAATTCACTATCGACGGCCTTTGACCCTGTTAGCAAGTTTATTGGAGTGATCAACATTTGCAAAGGTCGACTTTTTTAATGAGGAGAAAATTGGTGGTGATTTGCATTCCGTAAATGCTCGCGTCGTCGGCGCATATCAAACAAATTTGTGCTCATCATGGGAAAATTTTACGCTGGAGACATTTACAAATAAATGGCCTTTTAGATTTAGCTGTTGTGAAGAAAGTTGTTTGTCAATATTCTGCCGTAGGATGGTCAAGTTTATTGCATAGCGCGTTGCATAGTGAGTCGCGGCTGTGGCGAAAAACGTTGAAATTAATATGATGGCCTCAAGACGCGGCAATTATTGTGCGATTCACGTTCGGTTTGGGTGACGTAATTGTAAATAACAATTTATTCCTCGCAAATATAGGGAAAGACCCGAAATGAGTCACTTCCAATGAGAAGGTCTTTGCGAATCTATTGTGCTTTCTCTTTTGCAAAAAATGTTAATTGAATACAAATTTGATATACTATCAATCTATTAAATTTCCTAATTTTGTACAACAACTTTATGAATTAGTTATTCATTTATTTAAATTTGATGCTTAATTAAAAAGTGTTAAAAAGTATGATAAACACACAAATATTTATCCAACATTTTCTCATAATTACTTAGGACTTGTATTTAATTAAGAGATATTTACATTTCAATTATAGAACGAAATCAAGAACTTATGGTTATCTTGTCTGCTAATATGACTGAATTCACACGTCGCTCAACAATGAGAAGGAATTCAATCGCAACGAGAAATGATCGAGAGTGAAAGGGAAACTCGGCAGCTCTATATGTATCGAGAGCTGCGCTCGATCTGCAATCTCGCAGAGACTTGAATGATTCGTGTGTTCACAACAGTCCCAAGTAGGCCACGGCGTGATCGCCTTTACATATAGCGGTGTACAAATTATAATACCTCTAAAATCTTCATTCTATGGCGTTGGTGAGCTCATCTCTCTCATTAGCTTTACTCAAGCGGACCAACATTGTCTTACGCAATTCAGAAGCGTTTTGACCTGGAATTTTCTCCAAAGTTATAAAATAAAGCAAACAGGAGCGTTAATACAAACCAAAAAGAGCGTTTAAGTAGTTTATTTTCAACGTCACTCGCACATTTTTAACAAAGGAGTTGAAGTTGAAAAAAAAAACTGGACAAAGCAGCTATTGTAGGTAGAAGAGTTGATTTATTCATCAGCAGGTATTACATAATGTATGCCATTGAGAAGAGATCTAAAGTTGATTCCCTCCATTGAATGCACGTAAATTATGGTAACTAATGGTCGTTTTAGCCAAGCTAGAGATGACGTTAATTTTTACTCACGTAACCAGGATGTCACGCTCGCCGAGGCGAAGAAGAAAAACCATCTCGCGCTTGCTGCATGAGTGTGACATTTTACGTGCACAAAGAGCGTGAAATAAAACATCGCTTAATCTCAAAAGTAATCTCGCGTACTGTTACCTCTATTCAAAATGTAAATAGTAATGTTGGCCCAGGATTTAAGCCGTGAATCGGACAATTAACGGAAGAAGTGGAGCTTTTGTCACTGCGGAGTGACTGACCGCTTAAAAAAAATTTAAACCGTGACGGACAAAAAGAATTAACTCTCACATTTTTTTTTTTAAATTTTTTTAGCGATTTTATTATTTATTAATGTTTTTTTTTCTTTGTTTCAGGCCAACCGATTTTCTTCGGAAGTCCGGCTGCCTTTCAATACCAGCAGACGTTCCCTTCGTCCAACTTTGCTCCGAACGCAGCTCCCTCGGCTTTCATCCCGTTCCAATCGCGGCAGTCGAGCACCTCGCACAGACGCGACTTCTTCGGACAGGAAGTTCTGCCACCCAATGTCTTCCAGCCGTCCAGCCACTTCAACACATACCAACCGCAAGACCGGCTGGCGTCGCAGCAACGCGGCAACTTTTTCCAGCCGACGCAGCAGCAGCAGCGCCGACCACCGCCGTCCGCGCCGTCCGCCGTGTCCGAGGTGAGCTTCACGCAAAACAGGGCGCGCTTCGAGACGCCGACGGGACGCAAACTCAGTTCCCAGACGGACACCTCGTTCAACAGCTTTCCCCGCGCGCCCGAAATCCCGCAACCCGTCGAGGAGAACATCTACGAGGCGCACGATTTTCACCCCACCCGAAGCCGATACCAAACGACGGAGCGTCCGAGCACTACCTCGAAGCAGCCGTCCGGCTTGCGCCGCTTCAAACCCGGCACCAGGTCTCAGCCCGGATCGAAAAACAACGTCCTGACTGTGCCGAAGGGCGCCCCCGTCGATGGCACCTCCACCCCTATTCCGTCCAGGGTGCGAAATTCGGGAGATTCAAGCAGGGGTAAATACCGCGGTGGTATTCCTCAGCGTTACAAGACGCGACCCTCTGCCGTCGACGAGCCACCCTTTGAGGTTGAGCAACCCTCGAGCACTCGACCACCCTTTGACTTTACAAGGCGCTTCCAACCGACCATCCCTGTGCACTCGACCACCTCCGAAATCGTCCCTTCGATTGAATATGAGGTCTCTGGTGTCCCCGAGACTGATTTTTCAGCGCCTTCGGGCCCTTCAGGTCCCTCTGGGCCGTCAGGGCCTTCAGCGTTTGAGGAAAATCACGGTCCTGCGACCTTGCCCGAATATGCCCAGTACGATTACGAGTCTGCAGATGTGAGTGGGCCTCAGAAAAATGATACCTTCGAGGTAATCACAATGAAACCTCGCCTGCCTGCAGAGGCCGAGGAGAATTTCAAGAGTTTCGTGGACAGCGTGCTGATCGACTCCTCCCCTGCCCCTGCGAAGGAAGAAGAGCAGGAATCGGTGACCGAAGCTTCTGGCACTGGCGTGTCCGTGTCCGTGCACACCGCCGTCTCCACCGAGCCAAAAGTGACCACCCCTATTCCGGAAGTGGTCGAGGTGCAGAGCAAGGCCAACAACTTGGAAGCTCCTCCCACCGGAGAACCGGAGGTCAGCGTGACCAATTCGACCGAGAGCTGGGTGGTCGTCGCGTCGGTGCAGACGAGCCGAAGCGTGTCCGGCGCCCGTTTCATCCCCTTCCACACGGGAATCAAGCAGGACGAGAAAGTCCTGCCCTCCCTGCAGACGAGCAAACTCGAGTCCACGACGGTCTCCTCCACCACCACCTCAACCACCGAGATGACGCGCCCCATCAGTGAAGAGCCGACGTCCTCTTCAACCACAACAACCACCACCGAAGCGTCCGAGCAACCCTTGTTCGAAAGGAAATTCTCGCCGGCCCCGAGACCACAAAAGAGCAAGGCGCGCATCCCTCAGAGCATTCTGGAAAGCATCCAGTTTGACGACCTTGGCCCTAGTCTGCTGCCACCAGGGTTCAAACCCCGCCAAGGTCAAAGCAGCTTCCGCAATCGCCCGATTACGACGACCGAAGGACCGTCTTCCTCAGAAGCGCCTCCTAGTTCAACCACAACAACTACCACTGAAAAACCTGCCATAATTAAATTCGACTCCATCGATCCGGCTCTCCTGCCCCCTGGCTTCAAAATTGACCCCAACAGCGCACCCCCTAGCGAGGAGGTCGAGTCGACCACGCGCCGCTCGACCGGCTTCAAGCCCAAGAGCAAGCAGAACGCCACCGCCACATCGCTGAGACCCTTTGGCGGCAAAAGCCTGAACGGCACAACCAAGGACAACGACCTGGTCACCAAGCAGAAGAGCGACGACCTCTTGTCCGCCCTGCTGCCCCCTGGTTTCAACAAGGGCAGCGCGGCCAAGATCAGCGAGGACGTGCCAGCTTTCCTTTTGCCCCCCGGATTCAAACCGGTGGAGGCCTCGAGCGAATCGCCAATTCTGCTCGCTGATATTCTCAGCAAGGCCAAGCCGGCCGACGTGGCCTCTCTGCTGCCCCCGGGTTTTAAACCCGAAACGTCCACGGCCAGTCCGACGACGAAATCGCACTTGCCGCACCTGCCGAAACCTGGATCTGGAACAAGGAAGCCGTTCGGCAGCTTCAGATTTACTAGTCCCAAGCCTGACGGCGAAGAAGGAGGCGGCGATGACCATCATAATGGAGAGTCCGGCCTGTCCTCCCCCAAGATTCACAAGGGATGGCCCACCAGGTAAAAAAATGATCATTTAAAATTTTAATAAAATTTAAAAAAAACGTTGATAGATTTTTGGGTAAATTTAGAAAGTCATTTATTTATTTATAAAAATTGTATTTAATGTATTTTTAACTTTTTTTAATATTTTTTAAATTTCTATTTATATAATTTAATATTTAAATTAAAAAAAAAAAACAATTAATTCATTGGAAAAGAAGAGTTAAGGCTTTTCAGGCTTTTTATCATCTGCTGCTTTCCTAGATTTTCAATTTCTTCAAAAATATAAATTCTTTCTATTATACTTAAATAAAATTCTGGTGCTTTGACTTTATTGTTAATACAACCAATTTTATCTCTACCATTAAAAAGTAAATGGATAAAAATAACTTTTTTTCCTTTTTTTTTTTTAATGCAAACCTTTTATAATCTTATAAATTTAGTTATTTAAATTGTCAGTAGCAAAAAAAAAAAACAAAAAAAAAAAACAGATGCTTTTTGTTGTTTTAATGGAAAATTTGGTGCTACTTTTTTTGCAGTGCAATCAAATAATCGAATTAAAAATTAAAAACCTCTTTCTTTCTTTTCTTTTCTTAATTATATTTCATTACCTTTACATCCTGCTGTGAAATAGTTTTTCTCCACAGTGCGCCGTTGGCCGTTCACAATAATTTTATTTATTCTAATTGCATTTAATTAAACGCCCCCTCATTCTCCTCAACATCTCCATGTTTGCAGAGCGACCACGGAATTCACAGGGTGGCCGACTCCACCTACGACGCCTTTGAGCGCTGAAAAAATCCTGGAACTGGCCGCTCGCTCGACGACAACCACCTCCACAACGACCACCACCGAGGCGACCACGACCACCACCAGCACGACGACGACCCCGCGGCCAACCACCCCTGGCGTTTGTATGCGCGAGTGCCAATTGGTCGGCACCATCAGGTTAACGGACGGCGCGCACTGGGTGCCTGAACTGATGGACCGCAACACGGCCGAGTACAAGGCGCTGGCGGCCAACATCACCTCCGAGGTGAGTCACTTCTGCTGCCTCCGTCGCTTGCTGCATTACATAAAGCACGCACGCAACCGGAGAACAATCGTGGGCGCTTTATTACACTTTTCTTCCATCTCTGGTCTCGCGGCGGGTACAGCTGCGCAACAATAAATTTCAGCAGTAAACATAAATGAAATGGCCGTAAATTTCGCTTGCAAAGTGGCCAATGGATTTGCTCTGATTGTATTAAAACAAGAAAGATGTGTTATACCATTAAAATGCGCTTTTCTTCTTGCAGCTCAAGGCGGTCTACGAAAAGTCCGACGCGCTGAATAAGCTGTTCAGGAATGTGTGGATCGACGGTTTCAAGTAAGTTCTTTTTTTAAATAGAGTTTAATTAAATTGAATCGTAACACTTGAGGTGGATTTGATGACAAATTGAAACCGGGCAAACATCCTTTCAAAGAGAAAATGAAGAAAGTAAACAACAACTGACCCCGAAAGGTGACCTGCAGTCTGCTGATACTTTAAAAACGAAAATAGGGACTGGTTGTGTCCAAACTAAAACTAAGTGGGAGAAATTATTAAAAAATAAAATGGGAGATTTTAATTCTAATAAACAAAATTTGCAGAAATTGGTTAGCAAATGAGTTTTTTTCTTTCTGTATTTTTTTTATTAAACTTTAATTCTCTCCGTTTTATTTTTTTAATTTTTTATTAATTCATATCCTACTTAGTTTTAGTTTGGACACGACAAAACCTAGGTTCTTAAGGTCACCTTTTGGGGTCAGTTGTCCTTTTTTCTTTGCAACAAGGTTCGCCCGGTTTCAATTGTTCATTTTGTTTCTTTTTTGTAATATTTATATAATGCGAATATTTCTTTATTTTTGTAGCAAGGGCAGTGTATTGGTGGATTATATTGTGCAGCTGGAGGCACAGGCGAAAGAACTGAACACTTTGCAGCTGAAGAAAATGTTCCACGAGAGCTTGAACGAGCCATACCAAAAGCAGAGCAGCCCTCCCGAGGAAGAGGAAGCGGCCGACGTGAAAACCACCCGAGCTTTGCAACTCGGCAGATTTGAAATCGATCCCGACTTCACAGACTTTATTGGTAAGTTCCTATCAAATTTCCCCCTTTTTTTTTTAGCTACGGATAGAAAATAGATATGTAGAGAAGAGCGTGAATAATTTTTGTTTATTCTCAAATGCACCGTTAAGATAAATTTTGAACCTGTATCCAATTATTTAATAAAAACAATCGAGACAAAGCCACCTTTTTATATAGCGTGCGGTCAGACTGGCGGCAGAAAAACAACGACGAGGGCACACCCAACGCTATTGAACGCGAACGACCTTCATCATTTTTTTTTTTTATTTATTACAAACGCCGTAGAAAAATTGCAGCAGCTGCAGCTCGTCAAAGCCGAAGGAACCGACGCGTCCCGGAATAACTAATAATCAAATCGAGCAGAACCAAAAGACCTCCAAGGTCGGCGGCGAATCTCGGCGTCGGCTAGGGCGGGTCCCTCTCGCGGAGACTTGAACGCCCGCAATATATATTTTGGCGTTTGCAGACGACCTTGCTACAGTTGCGCCCGCCGGGCAGGGCGTTTTTTTCACTCCTACCACTTTTTGCCGGCCAGTTATTCTGCGTGTAAAATATAAGACATGTACACTTCTGCACTCTAAGCGAACCGGTATTGCATTATAGGCGGGTGCCAATAAAAATATATAAATGTACACGACGAGAGTGAAACGCCAACACGCTCGTGTTCTTGGGTGAATTTCTGTTCACTTCCTAGTTTTCAGTTCAACGACATGTGTTGCAGCAGCTCTTGTAGTACCAATCAGACGGCGGAATGCAAATTAATCAAAGTTAATTATCTGCACACATGTCGCTAGATATTGCAAGGATTCATAAAAATGATGGATAGTTAAATGTTGAGAAATTCGCATTTCTTAAGTCCAGAGATTATTTTACATGATATTTTTTTTTTATTGTTGTTTATATGTACAAATTGTTTAAATTCAAATGTAGTAAACAACTATTTGAAATGAAAAGAAATTGTTGGCCAAAACGGCACCAGCAAGAATTTTGTCAAAACTTCCGAGATCAAAAAAACCCCATCCTCCTCAGTGAGCCTCAGTTGACTGGGTTTTTTGAAGAATTTAATTTCCACGGGATTATATTTAATTTAACTGCTCTTGTACTCTGGAATTAATAAATCATTTTATATAATATGCAATTACGTTTGGATGTACTCAGCGATATCAGAGAGGTTTTGCCTTGAAAAGTTAATTGCGTTCTCGTGCTAAATTATTAGATCTTTATTTACAGGCCTGATCGATGGTCTGTTTATTGCACGGCGCGTCCACTTCTTTTAGCTCATCTGCCATTAGACTCGTAAAATGTATACCTGTCTCGCGTTTTATTTTTATAATTATGCCCCACTCGTCTCGCGACGGCGGCGTGTTACTCAATTAAACACACACACACGAGTTCGCAAAGGCTGTGGCCAGCAGCAAAACGCCGAAGAGTGAAAGTTACTTGGCAAAGCAGCCAGCCTCCATGCGAACTGCTCTGGATGCTCGATTTTTTTTAGCCAACTCTTGATATATTATACACGTTTAAATTCAAACATGGCGAGGAGCAGAGCGACCATCAAGGTGAGCAAGCAAGAAACTCGGTTGACATTCCGTCCGTGCGACTCCCTGCCTATGCTCCGAAGCGAGATCTCAGGACGAGAATAACACACTGCTCGAGACTTCTCTTTCCATTGAAAGCCAGTTTTTTTTCGCACATCCTTTGAAAATGCAAATGACCTGAATTTTACTTACTTAGTTTCACTCTCAGCGAATTTGTAAATAATTAAAAATTTCTTTTCTTATATAATATATTTCGAAGAAAAATTTTTAAAACAAAATCATGTTTATTGTTCAAGTTTCAGAAATATTCTTGCTAGTGGTGGTGCCGTTTTGTCCAAAAATTCCTCAATCGTATGAAAAAAATGTGATCTTAAAATTTGCACAAATGAACAACAATAATTATTTATTTAAAAATCCATCAGAGACAAGAATTTGGAAATTAATTTATAAAGGATTTGGCCATTATTCCATTTAATTAATTACTAAATCAGTGAGCAATATTAAAATAATAAATCTTTACTTTCTTTCTCTGTTTTAGTTTTATTTTATATTATAAGAAGTAATTAAAGCCAACGGTCTGATAGGACTTTCTGAATGGCACTGAAATTTTAGAATAATTGAGTGTGACGCTTGACATAATTGCCTCGTTATTTTAAATTTTCTACTTTGCCAAAAAATAATGCTGCTTAGCATGACATGCCTTTTTCGTCGGCCTTGCATACTTGGCGTGCACATCTGCAATATTTTATTCTTTACAATTGTATGCATGTTCTAAATGTACGCTCTGGAATTTCATGTTCACGATCGCACTCCAATTCGTCCTTTAAAATGCGTCGCCTTTCCCTCGAAGTGTCGTGTTCGCCGCGAGTAATCACAAAATGTAATGGTTCCGAAGACACGAGCAAGGTTAGGCCGGGAACGAACTTATAAAAGCGAACAACAAGTCAAAAAAGTGAACGCGCGCGCCCGTGCTTCGAGGATGAAAGTTGCAAAATGAAGCCATCAAAAGTTTTTTCTCCTTTTTTATAGATGTTAATGGCTTGTGTTTTTGCAGTGGTGCCTCCGAGCGAAGATTCGACCCCTCTGCCCACAAAGGAGGAAGAGGGCTTGCCACAGTGGGCCATTGCAGTGATTGTCATCGGTCTTGCATCGCTGCTCTTCGTCATCATATTTGGCGTTTCGGTGGTAATTATTGGCCACTTTATTCATCTCCTATTTGACCGCAATTACAATAAAAATTAAGCTAATAAAAATAATTTAAAATCTGCTTTGAATATCAATTTTCGAAAGGTATTATTATTATTACGCAACTTGCAGTGCACGAGCGCTGTACGTGCTGCATAACCTTTGCTCTGCGCAGGGGCTAAATCTAAAATATTTAAGAATGCCATTTGATAATTCAAAAACAGTTTTTTTTTTAAATCTTCTCAATCAATTCATTAAATGTTTATTGGTCAATTATGAAATTTTAAATTATATCTGCGTTTTTATTTACAAAAAAGATTGTATTTTTCTTTTTGCAGCTCATCAACAGACAACAGGCGCAGCAGTCAAAGCAGCCGGTCATTCTGTCCGACGCTATGCTCAGTGAGCTGAGCAAGGACCACATGGGCGGCTATGATAACATGGCAGCCGTCGATGACCACTACGGGCTCGACGGATGGGACAACAGACCTAGAGAACCTGAACCTCGATATGCTTCAAAGGTATGTTAATGTTGAACATGTTTTTATATTTGAATTAAATTTTAGTTTTAATTATTTATAAATATATCATATATAAATTATAATATTATTTTAAAAATTATTTTTAGATTTTTGAATTTTATTGTTTAATTATTTATTCAATATTTATAAATTTTTAATATAAATGGAAAACTTATTAAATTGGAGTCTTTGAAATAAGGAAAAAAGATTCTATTTTTTTAAATCAGATTTATTACATAATGCAATGCATCATTTTGTAGCAAAAAAAAAAAAAAAAACTAGATTTGTATTCTTCCGTGCATATCAAACTTGCGCTATTATACTTTTGATGATTCGATCCCGCTCTTTGAATATTGTTTTCCTACAATTAAAAAAGTGCGAGAGAGCGTCAAGACATTTTGTGAGAATGCAAATTACGATCTAATTATCCACAAGACGCGGGTCAAACGAGAGTGAACTCTAAAATCTCTAAAGTGCGACGCCTCTCGTGAACTTAAGCCGCTTTTGTGATTGTGAGAGATCAAGCCGTCAAATGTGTATTCCTCTGCCTGTTTTTCACACGCACTTACCAAAGCAACAAAGGAAAGTAAAAGTGGCAAAAGAAGATCAGCACCTGCGAGAACCGCTCCTTTTGTCGTCGACGCCACGAGCACTTTCTTTTCGCGTCATTTGCTCTATTCCGCCCATAACTCTTCAGCACGCTCCTGTGTGAAAGGCAGATCAAAAGTATATAAAATGCGCGCGTAAATATGCACGTGCTCTCCATTACACGCCTTACGTGTTTAGTGACGCGAGAAGAAATTCTATGTTTTCTAGAAAATTATTTCTTCGGATGGAAAAAAGCAAATATTCAAAATGATGCGTTAATTCTAACAAAGAAAGGAATACTAAGAATTTACATGGCCAAGTCCATCGACGACCTTTATTTTTGTCAAACGCCTTTGAAATTTGATTTGGCAACAATTTTGTGAGGCCATCTCAACAGCCAAATTTATTGTATGATCTGCTTCCGAGGCCGAATCATGTCCATCGGTGATACCCTTTGGCCGTCGGCCACAAACCTTTACAAGTTACGCGACCGACTTTGACGCGCGGGAATTACCTGATGGCCGTGAGCTGCGAAATGGATTCTCGGCTTTATTACACTCATGCTAGTTAATTAACATTTATTACCAGAACTATTGTGAATAATAATAATAATTTCCAAATAACAATTTTCTTTAAATTTTATTCCTGATTACTGTTGTTGTTTATTTTTCCGAATTGTCACAATCACATTTTTTTACATATTACATTAAATTGTTGAATAAAATTTATTTGAAAAGATTGTAGGAAAAAAGGCACCAATTTTGTTAAAACTCCGAGATCAAAAAGACCCCATCTGCCTCAGTGATATATATAACTAATGAAGTTTTTTTCTTTTTTCAGAGAGGAAAGTCGGCAAACCCTGGTATGGGTTTTGACAGCTGGAGGTCTGACTGGAATAATTATTACTACGGCGGCTCGGCCAACGGCGGCTACTACAGCAGAGGGCCCGGCAGCCACTCGAGCGGCGGCCGCAGGTCCAGGATGCCAGACTACGACACCAACTTCTGATCGGCCAATTGAACCGCACCCTCTATTTATTGACACTGCATTTTAATTTATAAGAAACTCTAGAGAAGACGTCGAGTGATTGCATTTTAATGGGCAGTTTATAAATGTCGTGTGTGTTACGTCTTTTTATACGGTTACGATGAAACCGCTCAGCCTTTATTTCATAACTAGTTTTTAATATATCATAATATGTCAGATGAGAGTCTATATTTTAATGTTTATGAAATTAATTAATTTGTGGCCAATATATGATGCCGTCTGCATTGCAATACTTCGTGGAATGTGAATATATATAATTTACGCTTAAATTCTATTTACGTTGCCATCTTCCATGACATGATTTTTTTTATACCCATTTTATATTGTAAGCGCGTATATATGTTGATGAATATCAATTAGAGAATTTATAAGTAACGCTCGGTGAATGTGACTAATGTGCATCAGGACTTTTTTCTGTACATATACATTTAGATGAAAGATCAAGGTGATATATTAGTGATTGGGAGATGATTGATTCATATTTGATTTTAATTTTGTAACTGCGCATCTAAGGTGACTTTTTACATGTACATACCCTGCATGTATTAATAAAAACTCTAAGAAATGTATTACCTTGCTATTATTATTATTATTTTTTTTTTAAATTGACACTCAAGGAGATGATTATGGAAGTGAAGGAGAAGAAACAAGGAAAAAGCCTGAACTTTTCATTTCCATGATCTGGCTCTTCCTCGTTGCGAAAATTGTTTTTGTTCAAAATAAAGCAGGCTTTACCAGTTTTATGGCGACACTTTTTTTATGAGAAAGAAAAATACAAAAAAAAAATCAGCAAATTTGAAAAGAATATCACATTTTGACACAAAAATTTTAATCTTTAAATAAAAAAAATCAGAAATAGGTTAATAATAATTAAGTTTATTATAATGACTGTATAAACTTTTTTTTATTTAAAATTTTTAAAACTTTAGCAAGTAAATCAAATTAAATTAACAATCTAATAAGTAAAATTGTGTATAGTTCAATTTGAAAAAATATTATTTAAAAAAATGTTGTTAAATATAACTTTTAAGTTTGCCAGAGCAATTATATGCAATAAAAAAAAATGACCTTTTCTATTTTAAAATTTTAAATGAAATTTCCATAGTTTTATTTTCATTACAAGAAAAGTTTTATTGAAATTCTAAATTCCATCTATCTTGCCATCCAATTTTTTACTAACTTTGATTATCGGCATTTTCACACTGCCTTGGCCAAGTAAATCTCTCTGCATTATTTCCCTGAGGGCATCAGGCACAACGACATGTATTTTCCGATTTTGGTTGTTCTCAACCAGAGCCATCAAGGTTCTGGGAACAGCCAGGGCCGTCCCATTCACTGTGTGCACAAACTGTCCAGTTTCAGCAACTCGAATGTTCAGTCGGCGGCTCTGGAAGTCGGTGCAGTCGGAGCACGAACACAACTCGCCCCACATTTGCCTGCCCAGCATCCACGCCTCCAGATCGACCTTTCTCAGGGCAGGGTTGCCGAGTTCGTTGGACGCCATGTCCAGAACTCTGAAGTGCAAATTGAGCGATTCGAAAAAATCAGTCTGCAATTCGATGAATTCGTTCTGCACGGCCTGCGAACTTTGGAGATTGCCTTCGGTCAGGGCGAACATCTCCACCTTGGTAAATTGGTGCACCCTGAATATATTAAAAGGGTAAAAAAATTGCAAAATTAATGATTTTGAAATCATTCACCTGTACAGTCCTCGTTCCTCAACTAAGTTAGAAGTTTCCGCTCGGAAACACCGACTGATCGCAGCCACTTTGTACGGAAGTTTTTCTTGAGGAATTTTCTTGTCCATAAATCGAGCACCCAATCCCATTTCTGCAGTTCCGGACAGGCAGAGGTTAGACCCATGCTGCTCATTTAAGCGGAAGACCTGGAATCATGGAACAAATTTTTTTTCCTTGGGAAAATCAAAGTTTTTTTTAGTTAATTACTTGGTTTCTTTGTCCAGTCGTTGGCATTCCACAGCTCTCGATAGCTTCTGCTGACAAAATGTCTGGGACACTGACCAAGTGAAAATTATGACTCAAAAGTTTTTGCACGGCCAGCTCAATCAAGGCTTGCTCAAGTTCGACGAGTTCTCCGAAGAAATAGTAGCTACGAGGTCCGCAGAAGTTTCCCAAGTTCTCCGTTCGACACCAGTTGTATTTATTGGCGATGTCGGCGAACTTGCTGAATTTATGGCCCGTTCTAGCCTCACCAACAATCTGGAAATGAGTAAAATGAATAATTTTTCTAAAATTTAAAGGAGAAAAACCTTAATTTGCTTGTTTTCTGGTCTGTGTTCTAGAGTCCGATTCGGTATTTTGATGGCCTCCGACATGAACTTGCTCCAAGCCTTGTCACTTTTCGACGACTGAAATTCTTGGTAGAGTTGCTGGACAAGTCGAATGTCGCCCAAAGCGTCTCTTCGCTTCACATTGTCTTCAATTTCTGCCAGGTTGTCCGGGTTGCACAAATACGCCGTGTCCAATTCGGTTCCGGGGCGAACGTAGGACATTGTCCGGCCTGCGGGTTTCCGAAAGAGGAACTTTGTCGCGAGCCAGTCGGTCAGTTGTTTGTAGCGGCACATGATTCTTGTTGAATTCATTATCATTTTTTACTAAAAATATGTAATTTAAGATTGCAGAGAAAGAAGCAGCACAAAGGTTGGTTGACTTGCAGTGCCAGTTTTAATGTTGAAGATCTTCATCGACCCTAAAACGACAATTAAGTCACAACAAAATTTATCAGAATTTACAATTATTTTACCATTGAAATGATCACAAAAGTCATTCCTCACTCGTGTATTTTGATTTTGGAGCGCGCAGCTGTGCCGCGTGCCACGCCCACCTCTTGCCAAACAGCTGAGTTAAAAAACAAAACGGAATGAGTTGAGACAAAACAAGCAGATTTTGAGGGATTAAAGAAGCAGAATGTAACTTATTTGGAGTGAGTTAAGCCCAAAATTAATCAGAAGAGGTAATGGAGCTTCTCATCATTATCATAAATTGAATTTTATGCGCATTTTTCATTCTAAAATACTTTAACAATTTCGCCTAATTTTTTTGTCCATTAATCTTACTTTTTTATTTCATTCAATGACCCGTCCGTAAATTTGGAAAGTTCATTATTTTAGTTCTTAGTTTATTTTATATCCTCCATTTGAGGAATAATTAATGAAATATTTATTACATTTGCAGCTTGAACAATAATATAATTATCTTAAATTGACCCAGTTTACAAGCAATAAACGTTTTTTTTTGCAGCTGATTAAAATCTTGATGAAGTCTCAAAAATGATGTCCAATATTTTGGAGAAAACCCTGGGCTCTGTCTTCACAGGCAGCAACACTGACCAGTTTGCGGGGCTGAAATCGCTGTACCAAAAATGTCTCTCCGCAAGAACGAAAAAAGTATTGAAATTTTAAAACATATTCAGAATTTAATTTTTTCACTTTATTTAGGAGGAAAATCAAATAATAAGAGAGTTGCTGGCCACGGTAAAATTGCGCCTCAGCAACCCCAGCACGCGACCCCTTTTGGCCGGACACTGCTTGGCCTTTGCAATTTTTGCTGAACTAATGGGATTCAATGTCGAATTCGCTCACATCCACGCCATCAACTTGGCCCAACAGTCTTCCATTGTAGAAAAGAAAATGGGTAAAATCATTTGCAACAAAAATTTTAATTTTTTATTAAAAATTTATTAATTTAGGTTATGTTGCTTGTTGTTGTCTTTTGAACGAGACAAACGAACTGAACCTGCTTTTGGTGAACACTTTGGTGAGAGACCTGGCGAGCAAAAACGTGGCCATCGTCGGTCTTGCCCTGTGCGCCCTTTGCTCAGCCCCGTTGCCCACAGAGGTCATTCCGTCAATTCTTCCTGCAGTCCTTGACAGGCTAAACCACTCCACGGTTAAAAAATTTAATACTTTAATTTCTATTATAATGAAAGATATAAATTTATTAAATTCAGGCTTACATTCGTTGCCGGGCGGTCATTGCTGTGCATCATATTTTGCGGAGGCACCCGGAGCATTGCGAGCAGATGGTGTGCAAAGTGGTTGCCCTCTTGGGGGACAGCGACCCCCACGTTGTTCACAGAGCCTTGGGCTGCTTGCCTGACATTATTCAAGTAAAAAATATTCCTTTTGCAGAGTGATTTTTTTATATATTTGTTCTGAATATTTCCAATTTTTCCATGTTTGTTATTTATTATTAAAAAATTTCCTTTGAAATTTTTACTATTGTTATCCAAACATTTTTCCAAAAGACGTTCAAATTATATTCAAACATTTATCAAAACGTTTAAAATTTGTTCCACATTTCTTTTACAATCATTTTAAAACATAATTTTTTCTATAAGCCTAATTTTGAGGGATGAAATTAATGAAAAATGTTTACCTCCAGAAATATCCTGAGTTGGTTGCTGGCCTCGTGCAACCGCTGGTGGCAATTCAAAGGCAAATTCTAAATGGAAAACTTCCTGCGCAGCTGAACTACCGAGGAATTCCGACACCGTGGATGCAAATGTCGATTTTAAAGTACGAATATATTATCATTTTGAGACCTTTCATTATTTAAATTTTATTTAAAGATGTTTGCCTGAGCTTTGTTTGACGGAAGAAGAAGAATTTGCTTGCAAAGAGGTTCTCCTGGAAACAATCAAAATTATCTCGACCAAAAACATTGCCATCAGTGAACCTCCGATCAGAAGTGCCATTATCGCTCAAGCTCTGACTGTCCTGCTCAGCCTTGAGGAGACTAATGAGGCCAGCAGGATAAGAATCATGAATTACATTGGCCTGATGCTCCAGTCGGAAAACTGCGACGTCAAGTAAATAATAAAAAAAAAAATCACATTGAAATAATTTAATAATAACTTAGAAATGAGGGCCTTCTTTTGCTTGAAAACGCCCTTGTCAAGTATCAGATGACTTTGACTGAGGAGCAGAATTCTGTCGTCAAGTCCAGCTTAGACCACGCGGATTTGTCAATCAAGAGACGTTGCCTCGGATTGTTGACTGCCGGGGCGACGGAAAATGACGTCCAGTCGGTTTGCGGGCAGCTTTTCACCCATGCTGCTAAATCAGAAGGTTTTTATAAACATTTAAAGTGAAAATATTAAAGAAACTTTTTGTCCCAGACGAGAGTTTGAAACACTGGTTGCTGGAGCAGGCTTTGCTTTTATTGGATAGATTTGAAAGCGCTGTATCTGAAGACTGGAAACTGAGCGCTCTGATCAAATTAATGCCATTGGCCGAGGACACCAAAATCAACGAAAATATTTACAAGAGAGCTCGAGGAATCCTAGTAAAAGGTGATTGACATAATTTTATATGAGATCTTGAATTTTTACCTATTGTTTAATTACCATAGGAAATTTAAAAGATGAGACGTGGGCGAAAATGCTAGCCGTTTTAACCACTCACGGAGAAGCGAAAAGTGCGCCGACCAATTTGCTCATGTTGTACATTTGGACTCTAGGAAACTTGCCCCACTTGTGTTCAGCGGGTACCCAAGAAGCACTTACTAAAATCATTGTTCTTGGAAACAAGGTGGTGATTTCAGATTCAAATTTGAGCTTTTTCTATTAAAATTTCTGACATTTTGCAGCTACTTAATAATGCTAAGAGTGAACCTTCAGCTCGGGACCTGTTGCTGCAGATTTTGTGTTCAATTAGAAAGATAAGCGAGAAAGAAGATTTCTTGAAACCTGACAACCTGGATAATTTTCTGAAAGAGGCAAAATATGATACATTTATAATTTAAATGCAATACTAACTGCTTTTTTACCTTTTTTAGGTGTCAGAGTTGTCGGCTGTGCATTTAGTCGAAGCCTCCGATTTACTGAAAACCTTGGAAAACCTCGAGAAAATCAGGAAATGCCTGCAACTCGAATATGAAATTGATTTTTCCCTGAGTGCCTTGGACAATTTTGTGTTGGAGTCCATTCAGACAGGAAATAAAAAAGTTTATCAACCGCATGTGGCCATGCTAGTGCTCCAGCCGAAGCCCATCAGGTCGCCCGAGTTGGCTCATTTGTTGCCCGTTGAACTGCCGTCAATTGTTATGCAAACCTCCCAAGACTCTGCAAAAGCCTCTATGGAATCGTCTTCAAGCAAGAGGTTTGAAATAATGAAATAAAAAAGCAGTTAAACTAATTTAATTATTTGAAGCAGCCAAGTTGCCGAACCCACAAGCCCAAATCAGGCGCCAGCAACATTGTGGACAAAAGAGGGAAGGATCAAGAACACTTCCGAAGAGCAGACGACACTTGCTGATTCTGACCCTCTTACAAATGCCCTTAGACTTTCTCAACAGGTAGAAATTTAAAAAAATAAATAATTAAATATTAATTTTTTGTTTGTTAAGATTTCCAAAAATGCACAAAATGCAGAGCCTGAGGACCCATTGGGAGACCTTCTGAGATGACTGATCTTTTTTACTGGAAATCAATTGCGGAATGATAAATGTTGTTGTTGTGTTTCTGTCATAAATTGATGTTAATTTAATATGAACTAATAATTTTTTGAACAAATACTGTTTTTTGTTTGTTACAAATACCATATACATCAGTTAAATCTTTGCAATGTTCGTAGTTTAAAACTAGGCAAGATCCGCAGTAAAAATATATTAAAGCAGCTCATCGTCTGCCCGATAAAAAGGCACTTGGGAATTATCACAAGCGATGGTCGAGTGACCATCACAGATTGCATGCACCACAGAGTTCAATGTCAGCAAAATCCTGGGTTTGTGTGCTCGATGACGCAGCGCCGGCAGTACTTCTTGACCGCTCTGTACCCTTCGAGAGACACACCAGCACAGTCCTGAATGTTCAACTGCTGAAGACCGCGGCAGTAGAAGGCGATTTGCCGAATGCCCTCGTCGGAAACCAGCTCGCAGCTCTTCACACTCAGCTTCTTCAAATTCGGGCAAGATCGCGCTAAAAGTCTCAGCGAGTGATCCGTGACGTCACATTTACCTGCATTTGAAATTTTTTTTTAGCAACCTGAAGACAGGAAAACAATCAAATAATACCTAAGTCAAGTGCTCTCAACCTAGGGCAAGAACGAGCCAGGGCGGCTACACTGTCGTCTCCAACGGCTTCGCACCCTCGACTGTTTAGATACCTAAAATTTTTTGTCATAATTTGAAAATTCTTGCAAAAATAATTAATTACCTTAATCTGTGGCAGTACCGCGCTACTTGTTTGATGCCAGCATCCGAGACTTGGTCGCACTTGGCCACAGAGAGGTACCGAAGACTGGCGCCCAGCTTGGCCACCTCGTAGACACCGAAGTCAGTCACTTGAGTGCAGTCCGAGACGCTCAGTTCTCTCAGCTGGGTGCAGTAACTGGGAATATACTTAATTCCAGCATCTGAAATGAAATAAATTTAGTAATTTTTTATTTAAAATAACTTTTGAATTATTTAAAAATTACCCGATATCATCACACATCGTCTTAGGTACAGAAAGTTGAGTGCTGGGCAGGCCTGGACAACTGTGTGCAGACCCTGGTCGCTGAGTCCCACACAGTCGGTCAGGTCGAGGTACTGAATGGACAAGTGTCTTGCAGGCGCCTCAACGCTCATGCAGGTCACGCTGCTGCAGCCTGTTTTGCATAAAAAAATGCATTTTCTTCATCTCGACTTTTAAAATTATTTTCCATACCGGCCAAATCAAGGTGGAGGAGCTTGGGACACCTGGTCACAAGTTCGACGACCCCCGCATTGGAAATGCTGATCATTCCCGAGCCGCCGACGATTCTGAGGTGGGACAGGTTCGGACATTTTCTACCCAGCAACAGGAGCGACCTGGATTGAGACGAAGGTAGTAAAAATAAAAAACCATTTTGTAAGAAGAAAAAAATTCATACTTGTCGGAGAGGCCTGGCCCCGAAAGAGCAACTCTCTCGACGGCATCGCAAACCGAGTTTTCTCCGGCCAGTCTCTTGAGCAGTCCCCTCAAAGGCCTGTCGCCGCCGGACACGGCGACTGACCTCCACAGTCTCGGCTCCCACGCCAAGTTGTGCCATCTGCAAGGTCAAAGAAAATTGACTTGAATAAAATCGTATTTAGAATTTATAAAAATTGTATCCTCAAATCACTCTGAACTGAATAAATAAATAAATTTTTTTAATTGCATCGATGTATTTACAAGTGATTTTCAGAATTTTCGTTTAAAATCCTATGAATTTTATATATTTTCTTGGCCGTGATATCTTTTATCTATTAATTAATCGTTTGAAATTATTGGTCAAGTTTTTAATGATTTCAAAACATTACTTTCCTTATGACTTCAGTATAATTTCGTGTTAAATCGATTATAATTTTTATTCTTAAATAAATGATTATTTATATCAAATCAATAAAAAAAAAAAACAGAAATAGTTTTTTTTTTAAATAATTGAAAAAAATTAATAATAATATTTAATTTTATAGCTACATTATTAAAAATTGTTACCTTCTGCAGACTCTGGCACAACTGCAGAGTTCTTTGGTCGTCAAGTGTGAGAAAATTCGCACCAGGACATCGTCCGGGACGAGGTCGAAGGGCGACTCGGAGTACGGGGCGCCCCACGAGGCCTGCGGACTGGGCGCTACGAGCGTGTGGTAGCCCTGGTCGGCGCCAGGAGAGCCCGTTCGCAGGGGCAGGTAGGTGGTGCGGTAGCCGTGGTACTCGGGGGTCGGGGGCGGCGGCGGCTCTGCCTCCAGCCGGTAGGACGAGTGCGGGTGCGACGGGTACGGGTAGAACTGGCGGGGGAAGTCGCTGATCGAGGCGTATTCGTTGGGCGGCAGTCGAGGGTAGGGCGAGGAGCGGGTCAGCGGACATGGGGTGACGAAGGTGGGCGCTCGGGGTGGCGGCGGAGGTCGCGAGTGGCGCGGCAGATCGGGCGACGACGACGAGCACGTCGCGCCGCCTGTCATTGAGGCCGAGGAGCGGGACGACAGCTCTGGAAAAAAAAAATAAAAATTAACGATAAATTAGAAATTTTTATTTAAATTGTTTATGAATCCTAATAATTAAAATTTCAAAAATCAATTTAAAATTTATGGAAATTGGTAAAATGTCAATTAAAAATATAACAAATCCCTGTTTTATAATCAGAGAAATAACGAAAATATGTCAAATTTTTATTATAATTCAATATATGACTAACATATTGTGGGTTACATTAAACAGAATTAATATTTCATTTATAAAAAAATTAATGAGAATATGAATGAATAATAAATCTAAATAGATATAAATAAAAAAATAAATTATGTTTATTTATTAAATAATTTAAAATAATATTTTAATAACAAATATATTTATTTAACCGTTTTTATATATTAAACTTATTATTTTACTGTTCAATACTAAACACTGATCTGCAATTATAAATTATAATTAATTTTTATATTGTTCTCAATATTTTGACAAACTGCTTTTTAAATGAAATGGGAACAGGTCAGCAGATTCTTCATAAATTCCTGCGTGAGAGATGCAAAGCCCCGAAAAGTTTTCTCTGCTCTCTGCTCTCGGAGAACTCGCGATTACTGTGAAAAAATGGCTCTCGTTGTGATGCCCGCCGGCTGCAGCGATTATTGACTGTGAGAACGATTGATGATGATAATGGTGTGTGTGCTGTTTAGCATAGGGAGAGGCGCCGTGTCGTGACACAAGGTCACTCACAAATATTTGTGCACCATCATCTTTCTCTCACAGTAGCGTTTCTTTCGAAATCAACCAAATTTGAATCAAACTGTTTTTTTCTGCCTATTATTTGATATCAGAAACATAGAGAGAGAAAAAAATCGGCGTTTCTGTTAATTCTTGAACACATTTTTTTCTTCAAAATTCTAAGAATTTATCCACTTTTCAGTGGAATCAGTCATCGTTCTTTGGCAAAAAAAGTAAAATAAACATATTTTTTTTGACGTCGTAAAAGGGCAGATAGGATTGTCATGAGACGGCAAGAGCTTGGCAGGTAAAATTCTTGATGGTCGAAATACATATCACCACCTGTTGCGCACTAACTAGCTATGAAGCGACCTGACAGCTCACTAACCTTTCAAAATTAAACAAGACAAGCTTTTGTTCCACGTCTCTGGCTGATAAAGAAAGAGCGTTTAATGTTTTCTAATGCGTTATAAAAAATATTGTCTAAATAGCATTCTTTAACGTGTGTCAAAGGTTAAGAAAAATTTGGATTGCCAAAATGATTTATATTCAAATTATTGTTTCTTATAATAACATGAAGGAGTGAAATTATTAATATATTTTAAAGGGTGCTCTCACCATGAAAGGAGACGTTTTTCCTGGTGCTCAGGGGCGACAGGGAGCTCAGGTTGGAGGCGATCACGCTGGCCGACTCGGTGCAGGTGCTCGCTGCTGGCGACGCCGACGAGGAGTGCGAAAGGTCTGCACAGTCAAAAGGTTCAAAATCATTTTTAAAGATGAAACAGTTTAAAAAGTATAAAATAATAATATTTTATATAAAATTTGACAATAATATTGAATATTAAACGTGGTTTTTTAGTATCTTGAAAATTAATTATTATATGAGTAGAAAAATAATATTAAAAAATGCAAAAATTGAAATGTATATCTGAAAAAAATATCTGATAAAAAAGAGTTAATAATTTAAAGTTATTAAGTGCAATTTGGTGCAATTTTTCTCGATTTCCGCAGAAGAATTTAAACGTCGCGTACTGGAAATAAAAAGCTAGTCGATCAAAAAGGCTGGGGTAATTAAAAGACGCAGACGTGTTTTTGCGCCGATTCTGCAGCGCAATTCGACGGGCAAGATGACAAGTTCAGTGCAAAACGTATTTGTTAATATTGGGCAGTGCGTTTCTTTCAAAGCGATCGAGGCTGACATGCAGCAGGTTTGTCGGTTCGCGGAATCCAAAGGAAGCCCCGCGCAGGAATGTCATTTCTTACCAAAAGGGATAATAACGCGACGCGCTAAAAATCACCAAAAGATCCATCAGAATGATTGAATTTGGAAAAAAAACAAAGCTAAAAAAAAAAATTGTGAATTTTGGAAAAAATATACTCACTCTCTGAGTCGGGCATTCGTCCATTCACTGTTCCCATGCCTCCAGGAATTTTTCCAATTAAAAACTACCGTCTTTGCGACCTGAAATAATGTAAATTTAATTGTATTATTAAATTAAAATCATCTAAAAGATTATATTAAGTTAAATTACATATAAATATTAATTTATCCTATTTTTTTAACTTTATACTTGATTTTATTTAAATTTTAAGTTTTGTTTTGTTTAAAATTTATTTTAATATTTTATTTATAAATTTTAGTAATTAAATTTTCAGTGTAAATAAATTTAAAAATTTCAAAATAAGATGTTAAAATATTATATTAATTTTTTTTTAAAATTATATTATATCAAGCTTTGATTGCAGAAGCCCAGAATAAATGCGAATATGTTTGCTTAAATTATGTATTTCAAAGTGGAATGGATTAAATTGTACTCTATTGTATAATGCATGGAAATTACATTTAAAAAAATTAAGAGTTTTTA